TATCTATCTATCTATCTATCTATCTATCTATCTATCTATCTATCTATTTATTTATTCGTTTGCTGTTTGTCCCGCTCAGTAACCTTGTCGACAAAAATCCGACGTCCTCCTCCTCATCGCCGTTGCCGGGGAAACCGTGCGTTGAGATGAGAACCAGGTTGTTGAACCTCAGGTGAGGGCTATAAGGGGAAAAACAACACCGGGTAATATGAGTGTTTTTTTTTTAACACAATGCATGGAGAAGGTCCTCATCCTGAGACGCTCAAACTGTTGGGAAGGGATAAATTACTCTTTATTCTGAGCACTGAAGTAGCTTTTCTACTTCCAGCCTCAACTGATTTGTCCAATAATAATAACTGGAGGAAGCTGAGGGCCTCTATTCTTTCAGGGGTTTACAATACCTGAACTCAGGGTCACACATGGGCAGCTATTGAATCTCTCGGGGGGTTTTTTTATAAAAAAAAATATGTTTTTGTTTGTTTCTCTGTGTGTCATAGAGACATTCGGACACACATCGGAGGGTGAATCATATTGGAAATGATCTCAGGTGGAATTTTTCCATCCCCGGACATAAAGAGTCCTCCCCGGCTTATTGTGGACGGCGTAAACCGGCTGTTGTGATGCAAATGGCTCTTTTGTTGAAGCCCGCGGGACGTTAGGGGGCTGATAAGAGCAGCCTTATCTCCCGGATGCCCCGATCAGCCCCCGTTCTGCCCTTATCTCAGCTTCCTGTTGGAATCACATCCAGGCAGCTAAAGGCGTTTTATTTCACCTGGACGGACCTAAAACGGACCTAAAACGGACCAAAAACGGACCAAAAACGGACCAAAAACTGACCTAAAACGGACCAAAAACTGACCTAAAACGGACCTAAAACGGACCTAAAAGAGACCAAAAACGGACCTAAGATGGACCAAAAACGGACCAAAAACAGACCAAAAACTGAGCAAAAACGGACCGAAAACGGACCAAAAACAGACCGAAAACGGACCAAAAATGGACCAAAAACTGACCTAAAAGAGACCAAAAACTGACCGAAAATGGACCAAAAACGGACCAAAAACTGACCAAAAACTGACCAAAAACGGACCAAAAACGGAGATAAAACGGACCAAAAACGGACCAGAAACGGACCTAAAAGGGACCTAAAACTGACCTAAAACGGACCTAAAACTGGGTCTAATTTGTAAGTCGCTTTGGATAAAAGCGTCTAAATGCAGAAACATGAACATAAACATAAACCACACAGAGTACTAATGTCAGGCTTTAGCTGTAGTGGACGTGCATGAGTTATATTACACCCATTTAAACAGAGATGGAGGTTTAAATGTGGAAACTTTAAAAAGACCCACTCAGTTTTTTAAGGAAAATCTAAGTAAGTAAGAGCAAACAGTTGAATGTTGCTACGAATGTCATCCATTGGACTAAAACAGACATAAAAGTGATTGTAAATTCTATTTTCAACACTGAAAAGTGTTTAAATCAAATCTAAAGTCATGTAGATTCAATAAAAATCACTGGCTAAGGTGTCTGGGCTTTATACGACCCCTGATATGATAGATAGATTAGAGAAATACTACTTTCACCACTGAAAAGTGATTGTAAATACTCCTTTCACCACTGAAAAGTGATTGTAAATACTACTTTCACCACTGAAAAGTGATTGTTAATACTAATTTCACCACTGACAAGTGTTTTAAATCAAATCTAAAGTTGAGTATATTCAGTAAATATCACTGCATAAGAAGTCTGGCTTCATACGACTCCTGATATGTGATGTTAACATGCAAATGAACGTCATCCATTGGACTAAAACAGACATACAAGTGATGGGAAATACTCCTTTAACCACTGAAAAGTGATCTTAGCATTTTATGGAGCTAATTTATGGAGTGAATAAATCGTGGACTCTGGGTCTGGTCCGTTATCGGCCGGACCCCGGCCACTTTTCAGCCTCCGGCTCTTTATCGGGATGACCCCAACCCGGCCAGGGATGGGGGGATGGAGGGATGGAGGGATGGAGGGATGGATGGGGGGGGGGGCGTTTGGACAGGGCTGATAAGGGCCCCAGCAGGCCGTAACCCACCCGTCTTTCACTTAACCGCCTCATTAGTCCACTCATTAGCCACAGCAAACACGGACTCCTGACGGGGCCAACGGCTAATTAAAGGGGCCCGGGGGGGGGGGCCTGGGGGGGGCCCATAGCTGCCTGCTGCCCCCCCCCCTGCAGGCCTCCGGCCCCGGTTGCCTGGCAGCAATCGTCCAGCTCTGGGTCTCCGTTCCAGGACGATCAATCTCCGGCAGATAAAGACGAGTCTGTTGACGTTTCCAAAGACTGGAAAAGCTGGAGGACGCTGATAAAAGCAGCTTTTCTTCAGCTTTTCCATCAGATGTCTTTAGATTCTTTTTACAGATCCAGAACCCAAATATTTATTTCTGCACTGTTATATTTCAATCTATAACCTGTAGTGGGGAGGATTATTTAAAGGAGACATATTATACCCTATTTCAACAAGTTAAGCTAGTTCCCTGGTGTCCTGATGTAATGTCTGTGACAAGCTTTGGTACCGTCGCTGGATTTAGATCACTTTAGATCACCTGTTGCCGAACCTGGACTCCCCTGACCACGCCCCCGGACTGCCCACGTTCCTAAATAAACTCTGCTAACTGACCGTTCCGTCTCCGGGTGTCTTTTGTAACGTAGTTACTTCAGCATCAAGTTTATTTTGGTTTTGATCATTAATTGTCCTGTCATTTCAGATCCGGCCCTTCCCTGTCATGCAATTACTCATTCCCCCTCACCTGCTTCTCTCCGCCCATCTCCTCACCTGCTGCTCATTAACTAATTTGGCCTTCAGTATTAATACCACTCCCTTTCCACTTTGTCCCCTGCCAGATTGTCTTGTGTCATTCCGTTCCAAGCATTCCAGCGTTTTCTTGTTCTGCCCGTTTTGACCTCCAGTTTGCCTCCCTGGATTTTGGATACCTGCCCGCCCCTTGTTGGATTTGTTTGCCTCTTCAACTGATCTCCTGGTTTTGACCCCTGCCTGTTTTTTGGATTGAGTAAAGTGTTTTTGCCCTCACGATTTGCCTGTTTGCCTTGTCGTACGCAGTGTTGGGGAGTAACGGATTACATGTAACGACGTTACGTGATTTAAGTACAAAAAAAGAGTATCTGTAATTCCTTACAGTTACAATGAAAAAATATGTAATTCAGTTACAGTTACAAATTTAGTTACATTTTTTTTAAAATATAAAGAAAAACCTTTGCGAAATATGCAACTCACTGATAGACGAAGCGTATTGATTTACTAATATTTGACTGTTTGGTGTTGATGCATGACAAACGTTTATCGATGTCTATGACCTAGCCTAGCCTAGCCTAGCCTACCCAACTCCTCTTTTTCCCGCACATGTCCTACATTTCAGACTAGGGTTGTCAAAAGTATCGATACTTAAAAAAGTATAGATACTGAAATGTTGTATCCAGATACGACTGACTTGTCTCCGATTTATTTATGTATTTATTTACGTTGTTTATGATCATTAACAAGACGTTATCCTTGAACTGCTAGCTACGGCCAATAGCTAACAATAACATGCTAAAATTAATCATGGGTCAATACTCATTAAAACCTTAAAGTAATCAAAAAGTAATCAAAAGTAATTAGTTACATTACTTTTTAAAAGTAACCGAAAAAGTTACACTACAATTACATTTTAAACAAGGTAACTTGTAACTGTAACGGATTACATTTTTAAAGTAACTTACCCAACACTGGTCGTACATTTGGGTTCTCTGTTGCCCGGACCACTGGTCGTGACATCTTTGGGTCCAAGACAGATCGTGACAGTTCCTGAAAAAGAGAAGGACTCACCAGAGGCAGAGCTCCTCCAGGACCGCCAGGCCGGTGTCGGAGGCCCCCACCACCACGATCCTGCTGTTCACCGTGGACTTGGGCTCCATGCTCAGCTTCCTGCTGATGAGGCTGAGGGCGAACGGGGGCTGAGGGGAAAAACCCACAGGGAGAGTCACTCCAGAGCTGGATTCATATCTTAAATGATCCATCAACTGAACAAAACCAGCTTAAAAACCTATCAACCAAGAGGACAATTTGTAGTGTTTGTTTTTTCTGCTTCTGGGCACCCGTTATCTATTTTTTATTATTTTCTTTTATTTATTTATTTATTTATTTATTTATTTATTTATTTATTTATTTATTTATTATTATTATTATTTATTATTATTATTATTATTTTATTTTTTATTATTATTATTATTACTTTTTTATTATTATTCTTAGATATTTGTACATCCCTCTCATATGTATGTAGAGTGTTTATTATTTGATGTTTCCCTGCTTTGCAAAAAAGTTCAATAAAAAAATAAAATAAAAAAAACAAAAAAAAACCTATCAACCAATGAGAGACAGACAGAGAGAATTATTTCCACTTTCCCAGAATTATTTCCACTTTAACAAAGTTTTTCTTCTTCTCAGAGAATTTTTTACAGTATTTTCTTTTGTTATTAATCTAACCAATTTAGAAAGATGCTTTAACACTTGTAATTTTTCACTATATTTGCTTGTTCTGTGTAGAATAAAACTTGAACAAAACCAGCTTTAAAACCTATCAACCAATGAGAGACAGAGAGAATTATTTCCACTTTCCCAGAATTATTTCCACTTTCACAAATTTTTTCTTCTTCTTAGAGAATTTCTTTTACAGTGTTTCTTTTTGTTATTAATCTAACCAATTTGATTTCTAATGCTTTTATGATTCATTTTCTGTTAGGTGGGATATTTTCCATTTTGTTTGGCTTGAATTGGTTTGCATGTTTTCATTTAATATGTTTAAAATGGCTAAATGTAATTTTATTTCTAGCTTCTATGGTGTTAATGGTGTGGAAAATTCTGGCATTTTTTCCTTAAAATAAACACATAAACAGTCATTTTTACCATTTCCATTTTCTCTTTCTATAATGAATTCCTCTTTTTCTCTGGGTAACCTCTCTCCCCCTGTCACTGGGTAGCGTTCATTTATTGTTGGCTATATAATTACACTCTCATGAAACAGGGGGATGAAATGTGCGACCTGACAGTTAAGGAACGCTTTTATTCCATAATTACAGAAGAGTCCCGCAGGAATTAGCCCAACACAGCGCTCTAATGTCGCCCTCATTTGCTATAATTAGACAGAGCGGCCCACAATGCACCTTGTTGGATGAAAATAGCATTTTGTCAAAAAGAGAAGGGGGGGAACCCGAGAGTGGAATTAACCTTTGTGCGCTATTCAAATCATTCCTCCAGGATCCGAGAGCTCGACATCTGGCGCATCCAGAGATGAAAAGATCCAGAGGCTGTTTGAGGTGATAAACAGACTGTATGGCCGACCCATTTGGATGGTAATGCCCCCAAAACTAGAGAGATGTTATCAGGATTGAATGAGAGAAATGCTGTGTTTTTGTCTTGTTTGTACATTTCTGTGGGACAACTCCAATTTCACTGATATGTGAAATGAGGAGGCTGAAATAGGGAGTTTTACAAACTAAAACCAAGAAGAGTTTTGTTCTGGAACCTCACCGGGAACCGGTCAAGGAAAAGAAGGTTAAAAAAACACGATTCACTATATCTGCGGGTACTTTTACAAAGAAAAATGATGGTTTGCTGAGCCTCAAAATCGACATAAAAAACAGCTTTTTGAACAACAATTTTGAGGCTTTTTCTTTAAACATAAAAGGAGTTCTGGAAGTAAAACAATAAGTAATATTCTGGGGTATATTTAGGGGAAAAGTTTAGGGTTCAAACCAGTGGAAAAAGAGACAATAAAAAAGAGATAGACAGGAAATTGAAGGGATAATTCAAAGGGTTAAATGATAACAAAAGAGATTATGTGAAACATGAGAGAAACTACAGGGTGCCATTATGAATTATAAATGGCTATTAGACTTTTGGATCTTAGAGATTTGAAAGAAAGAACCTACATGGTGGTTTGATTAGAGGACTCTTTTGGCATCCAGGATAGATTCAGCTGCACGTTTTTTCTTTGAATAGCAGCAGTTAAATGTTGCCTGTTGTGAAATTAACCCTATAATGCCTGATCCAAGAGAAATAGGAAGAATATTGGATTTTTTTTAGTCTGAAGTCTTTCTTTGGCCCCTCAACAACATATGAAGAAAAAAAAACGGAAGTTATTTTGATCAAATTAGGGTGCAATAAGTCAGAAATATATGTTGGTGTAGTCTTCTACTGGCTGTTATCAGGTATATCTGAATGTGTACAACAGGGGTTTGAGCAAAGCTTTTACCACTGAATGATGCAAAAAGTACCAAATATAATATACGTTTTTGCTTCGAATAGCAGCAGTTAAATGTTGTCTGTTGTGAAATGAACCCTATAATGCCAGATGTGTCGTATTTCTCATATCTGATACGGTTTCTGAAGTCTTTTGGATCTGAGACTATATTATTACACTTAATATTAAAAATGTATTTCTGTTTTTTCTTTTTACATATTTTATTAAAAGGCCAAATAAGGAATTCAAACAAAAAAAAAAGTAATTTTTTGTTTTGTTTTGTTCTTGGATCAGGCTTTAAAGCGTTAACCCTTTCCTTTAAAGCCTGATCCAAGAAAAATAGGCAGAATATTGGATTTTTTTAGTCTGAAGTCTTTCTTTGGCCCCTCAACAACATATGAAGAAAAAAAACAGAAATTATTTTGATCAAATTAGCGTGCAATAAGTCAAAAATGTATTTTGGTGTAGTCTTCTACTGGCTGTTATCAGGTATATCTGAATGTGTACAACAGGGGTTTGAGCAAAGCTTTTACCACTGAATGATGCAGAAAGTCTCACATCCAAAAGACTTCAGAAACCGTATAAAAAATTACACATTTGGCATTATAGGGTTAAAGTGGATCAGTGCTCAGGTTCGTGGACGTGTGTGTCTCTATATTCTGAATCTCTCTTTGTTTGTTGCCTGGATGCATCGGCAGGAATGGGGCAGATGGAGCAATCAGACGAACAAAGCTCCCTCCTCATCTGCATGTGAGGCTGAGCAGGTGCAGCCGCTCTTATCTGGCTCCGGATTCCTCACCTCCACGCCTCACAACCACCACATAGAGCCGTAACACGAACCGTGTTTACGGAGGGGGAACAGGTGCTCTAGATCTGATTAATCATCCAGAGACCAACA